TTGGTCCTTATAATGCCCACCCACCTGCACAGCCAGATCCGGCCTCCTTGCATCTCACCCCATACCTGTTAGCTCTGCACCGCTGCCCACCCTCCAGCAGCTGTTGCCATGCACCTGGCCCCTGCTGCCCTGCCCTTGGCCTATGTTCCCCTCTGCCCCTGGACCATCCCTCCCACCCTCAACCCTCAAGGTGGTTTGCTGATTTACTGTGTACATCTGCAGCCCCTGGCTCCTGTGCTGCGTTTGCAGACCGGAGAGCCTGGAACCAACAGAGCATGCTAGGACCAGCCAGCTCCCAGCTGAGCTGAAGGCACAAGCACCTGGGGAAGTATCTGCTTTAAACATGAGTGTTTCATTTATTCGTTTTTATTGCATTTGAAAAACAATTAAACAGAGAGAGAGAGAGAGAGAGGGTGAGAGGTCTTCCACCTACTGAATCACTCCTCAAATGTCCACAACAGCCAAACCAGGAACCAAGCAGAATTCAGTGTGGATTCTCTGCATGGATAGCCAAGAGAAAGAGAGAGAATGAATATCTTCCATTTGTTACTTTATGCTGATTTATTCCTCAGCTGGGACGGGGCCAGGCTGAAGACAGGAGCCCCAAGATCCATCTAGGTCTCCCATGCGGGTGACAGGGGCATATTGTTCAAGCTCCCCTGCCCTCTCCCACTATCAGGGAAAGGCAGCAGCCACCTGAGCCTCAGCCCAGAACTGCTCGTGTGCTGCTGGCTCAGGGACCTCCCGGCATCAAGGGCACTTGATGATCCTGGTGATTGTCTCTCATCCCCCTGCCGTGGCACCTGCTGCCTGTTGGTGTGAGGGGGGATGGTTCTTTGCTTTCTCCTCTTTGGGAAAGGAGCTGCTGGGCTGTGAGAGTGGGTCCGTGAGTCCGTGGGTCTGTAAGTCCGTGAGTCTGTGGGTCCGTGGGTTCGTGAGTCCAGTGCATGTTGGGAATTCTCCCTCTTCACTGTGTGGCCTCTGTGCCTTTTAGCCCTAGCTTAAAGTCGCTTTAGTTCCTGCGGGTGCCGTGGACGAGAGATGTGATTCTGTCTTCCTCCCTCAGTCCTTCCACCAGGAGGACTTGCTTTGGGTCTGGGAGAGGACTCATTGGCTGGTTGGTTGCTTGGTGAAGCATTTCTTTCTCTTTGGTGCTAAAAGAGTGGTTCAGTTGAATTCAAGCCTGCTTAGGGTGACACTAGGGCTGACTGGGCAGAGCTGAGAACCAGGAAAGAGGTGACATCTTATTGTCATCTGATGTGGCCCATGTCCAGGGGAGATTTTAAAATCAGGTGGCTGCTAAATGACTCCCCAGCTGGTGTACCATTCTGCAACTGGGGGGGCGGGGAGGGCGGGGGGCTTCGTCAGTGCCTTAAGCCTCCAAGTGCTGTGGCTGCAGCGATCAATGCCGGGAGATAGGTCAGGAGTCCTTCCTAAGGCATGCCTGCGCCTCATCCCAATAGGAGGGCAGAGACCCAGCGACCACTCTAATACCTTAAAACCTCTCTCCCTGTCTCTCCTTCTAGCTCAATAAATCTGCCTTTTAGGGGCCAGCACGATGGCTCAACTGGCTAATCCTTTGCCTTGTAGTGCCCATTCATATTCTGGCTGCTCTACTTCCCAACCAGGTCTCTGTGGCCTTAAAAAACAGCATAAGATGGATCAAGTGTTTGGGCCTCTGCACCTGCATGGGAGACCTGGAAGAAGCTCCTGGCTCCTGGCTTTAGATTGGCTCAGCTCCGACTGTTGCGGCCACTTGGGGAGTAAACCAGTGGACAGAAGATTTTTCTCTCTGTAGATCTGCTTTTCCAATAAAGATAAATAAATCTTTTGAAAAGAAAAGAAATAGCTGCAACTTGAATGGAAATTAGAAGTTAAAAGGTAGAGTTGATGATTAAGTTGCTCTTTGTCAGGCTGGCATCCCAGGAGGGCCTGGTAGGGTGATGGCTACTTTGCGTCTAAGCCTGTGTCCAACTCCTTGCTAACACACCTGGGAAAGCAGTGGGAGGTGGACCAAGTGCTGGGCCCTGCCACCCTCTTGGGAGACCTGAATAGAGTTCCAAGCTCCTGGCTTTGATCTGGCCCAGCTCTGATGGGCCACTGAGGAACAAATCACTGCATGGCAATTCCTTTTCTGTATTTCTCTCTGCGCAGCTATGCCTTCCAAATAAATAAAACTAGGATGAGTAAATATTAAAGATATACCTCTGGGCATATGGGCCCTCGCCTCCCCCAGTGGAGGGGAATGCTGCTTCCTCATACCGGACACGAGATGGCGCCAGCTCCTCAGGCAAGGTGGAAGCGGAGGCCAGCTCAGCCTTCCTTGCAGAGCCCATCCCTTCACACAGTACCCAGGTGGCATGATACCTGCCCACAGGGAATAGCTTGCTTCAACAGGGTACTTTTGCTTGGTGCCAAAAACAAAGTGGGCAATAGATGGTGATTGGAGCATCTGCCAGAATGGCCTCTTCCACCAGCCTCTCCCAGGCCCCAGCACAGGTTCCCCACTCATCTAGGGCCACATCTCTGGCTGGCTGGCACCTGCTCATCTTGTTGGCCCAGGTGAGGCCTGGTGGGTGGCACTGGTTCCACAGCATCCTTTGGCTACCTCACCACCCTGAGCTGGCAGGTGCCCGCCCAGGAGGTGGTGGCTCCAGCCCTGCCGGTCTGCTGGGCGACTTGGGGGACCTTCCTGGTGATATCTGGTGGGGCGGGGGCCTCCTGCCCCAACTCTGGAGCGGGGAGCTCAACGACTGTACCCAGCCATCCGCAGTCCTAGCCCTGCCATCCCACCAAAGGTGACCCAGCTCTAGGGTCTCTCGCTAATTCACTCGACCAACATCTGAAGCCTGCCCTGAGGGTCTGGAAGGCAGCTGGGGACACTCATTTCAAAGGGTGCGGAGGAGTTGGGGGTTCAGATGCCACACTCGCACCCCTAAACAGTTGTTTCATCACTCTGCTAAGCCCCTTGTGTTGCACGGTTCGGTCCATTGCCAGAATTCTGAGTTTTCAAGAACCGAACTTAGAAATCAGCCCTCTGCTAAACCACCCCAGGACTGCTGCCCACCTACATGGGGACTGCAGAGCTCAGGGAGGGGAGGGGAGCGTACAGAACCCCTACCCCCTCACCTGTTCCTTCTGGTTGATGAATGAATGACCCCCCACCCCCACCCCAGACGGGCCTGCCCGGCGCTGTCCCTTTTCCTGGGAGGACCTGGCAGGAGGGCTCCAAAGCAGGTCCCGGCCGTGCTCCTCTCCCTCCCAACCCGCTTCCATCCTGAGAGGGGGAGAGCCGGCCCGCCCGGTGCCCTTCCTGCCCCCGACGCCGCGGGCTCTTTGGGCGCCCTGTTGGCAGCAGAACAGAGGGCACCCCGAACGGGTGGCAACTCGCCCCGCCACGGGCTCGCACCGGCGGGCGATAGGGCTGGGGGGACGCGGAGATATTCAGACAGATAGCGCTCCCCTCGTCCGCCCCCGCCCCCACCTTTCCCACGCCGGCACCCGCTGCGGCCGTGGTCCCCGTCCATCTCGCAGCTTTCCAGGCACAGGGCGCCTGGGCAGGCGGCCCGACGAGTCTGACTCGGGAAGGGGCCGCAGAGCCGCTCCTGCCTGGGGCTGACCCGTGGGGTCCGCGCCCGAGACCCCCACCCTGGCACGGGGCCCGACGCCGCAGGGGCCAGGAGTGGCCGCGCGGTGGCGCCCTGGCACTGCGCGTCCTCCCCCGGCTTGTAGACCCCGACGGGAAGGGGGCGGCGGAGTGGAGGGGGGCAGGCCCGGACTGAAACGCAAAGAAGTGTTCTCTCCCCCATCCTCAAGGGAGGCCAGAAAGTGGGCTTGGGGGCAGAGGAAGGGCTAGTCCTCGGGAATTGCCAGGGTGACCCAGGGATGGGACATTGTGGGTCCCACAGACCTGGGAGCTGGGTGTTGGCTGGGAGCGACCTTCATGGGGGGCAGATGGGTTGGGCCAGGAATCTTGGTCCAGGCTTCAGGGAAGGTTGATCTCGGGGGGAGGGGGTGCGGATGGAGAAGTACTAACCAATCAGCGCACAGCTGCACATGCACAGTGTGCAGTGCGTGCGCTCTCTCTCAGACACACACACACACACACACACACACACACACGCGCACACACACACATTCATGCACTGATACCCACCTCTGAGTGCTGGGCAATGCATGGCACCCTCACATTACATACCCCAAGCACCCACCCAGGGACTCTCCCAAAATGCCCAACCTTCCCAGGACTGACTCCCGATGCACAGACTCTGCCCCTAGGCTGTGTCGGTGGAAACCCCAGGCCCCTGACTGCCTCCCCCCACCTCCAAGCAAGGCTGGACCATATTTGACCCTCAAACTCGGCAAGTAGCTGCAGCATCACCAGACAAGGGGATGCCCAGACTGCCCTCTCCCCGGGGCCAAAGAACATAGACCCATGGCAGTGAAACGTTGGTTCTGTCCATCTCCTTCCTACATTAAAAAAAAAAAAGTAAGCTACACTGCTATAAGACACTATGTTAATATTACATATTCAAAGATTTTCTTCAACTGGAAAAGTTCTTTTCCTCCTCTTGCAGTGTTCAGAAGGAGAAGATATTTCGCCACCTTGCCCCTCTTTTTGCATGGTGTACACACAGGGGCACACACCACCTCCCTCCACACACACAGCCCAGAGACAGATTCCTCTCCTTCCCCCACTGCACCCAAGCCCAGCTCCAGCCAGGGCAGACATGCAGATGGACAGGCCCTGGGGGCTCCCCACTTTGTGAAGATCCTGTAAGCTGCAACGACAGGAGAAGGCACAGCAAGTGTGTGTCTGTGTGTGTGTGTCTGCCTGCGTTTTGGGTAACAACAAAGAAGGGGGGGGAGAGAGGGAGAGAGAGCCAGAGAGCATGTTTTGCCTCCCAGGCAAGACTTGCAGCCAATCAGCGCGCAGGAGCCTCCCTCCCGACTCCAACATTGAGTGTATAACCGGCTGGCCGGGCGGAGCTGGCAGCATTTGACTGTGGCTTGGGACGCGGAGGACAAGGCACGCGGCGACCGCACCCCCACACGGCTGGCGATGATCTGAGCGCCCCTCGGCCGCCCCCTCCCCCAGACGCAGACCGAGCCCTCCCCTCGCGTTCCGGACCCACAGGGGCGCGCACAACACCCCCACTTGCCTTGTCTCGGCCGCCTCCCGGGCGCTCCCCGGTCGAGGCCAGCCCGCGCCAAAGGTCGGCGCCCGCCAGGATGAGTGGCTCTTTCGATCGCAAACTCAGCAGCATCCTCACCGACATCTCCAGCTCGCTGAGCTGCCATGCGGGCTCCAAGGACTCGCCCACGCTACCCGAGTCTTCGGTCACGGACCTGGGTTACTACAGCGCTCCCCAGCACGACTACTACGCGGGCCAGCCCTACGGCCAGACCGTGAACCCTTACACCTACCACCACCAGTTCAACCTCAACGGGCTCGCCGGCACGGGCGCCTATTCGCCCAAGTCGGAATATACCTACGGGGCGTCCTACCGTCAGTATGGAGCCTACCGGGAGCAGCCGCTGCCGGCGGCGCAGGACCCAGGTGAGCCCCCAGCAGGGTCGGGGCAGGGCGGGAGGCACGGGGAGCCCGGCGCGCCATAGCTCCCAGGGCCGGACGTGGGCTGCCCGGAGTTGGAGACTGTGGCTCCGACGGCCGCCGCAGGGGATGGACAGGCGGGCGACCTTCCCGTCCGGAGACTGGCTGGAGTCCGCCCGTGTCCGAGGCGCCGTGGTCTCGGGGTGGAGGAGAGTGCGGGCTGCGGTCGTTCCGGGAGCTTCCGAACCGAAATGACCTCGCGGCGCGTCAGCCAGCAGGGGACCGGATTTGGGATGTGGGCAGGGGAGGCGGGTGGGAGTGAGGGGGTCGGGGAGAAAGGCCTGCCGAGGTCGCGGTAGGGTGGGGGTGGGGGAGGATGGGGAACAGAAATAGAGAAAGGTGGCGGTGATGAGAGAGAGAAGCGAGGAGAGCCGGAGCGACTGGGGACGGACGGACGGACGCGGGGAGAGCAGGGAAGCGAGCGGGGAAGGAAGGACGGACGGAGCGAGCGAGGAAAACGAGGGAGAAACAAAGGAAGAACGAAAGAAAAGCACGAGAACTATCCTTGAAATTTCCCCCAAGTCCTCAACTTTTCGAACACAGAAAAGTTGAAGGGAGTGCTCTGGAAAGGCAGCAGCCGGGGCGCGGCGGGGCGGGGAGGCTACAGGCTGGGAGGTGAGTCGGGAAGGCGGCGTGCGCGTAGCCGCGGTGCTCGCCTGGGCGACTGCCGGCGCCGGGACCGGCGCGCCAAGCTGGGAACGCCGCGTCAGGGGCGGCCGCCGATCCGGCTCCGCGGCCCGCGGCTCCGGGACGGCCCGCAGCGAATGGGTGGGCTGGGGCGGGGCAGGACCCTGGAGGACGCGGGAGGCGCCGGCGCAGGCCCTGGCTGAGCCGCCCTCTGACCCGATGCGTTCCCCCCGCAGTGTCGGTGAAGGAGGAGCCGGAAACCGAGGTGCGCATGGTGAACGGCAAGCCCAAGAAGGTCCGAAAGCCGCGCACCATCTACTCCAGCTACCAGCTAGCCGCCCTGCAGCGCCGCTTTCAGAAGGCCCAGTACCTGGCGCTGCCGGAGCGCGCCGAGCTGGCCGCACAGCTGGGCCTCACGCAGACGCAGGTGGGTGCCGGGATGCGGGAAAGCGCCGCGGGGGATCGGGAACGCACGTGCGCGTGTGAGCAGAATCCCTGGGTTCCCCAGTAGCGCGTGGGACCCGGCTGACCTTAACATCAAATCCTACAAGCTTCTAGAACCTTTGCCTGTTGGGTGGCGCCCAGGGAGCCTCAGCCCCTGTCGCTAGGTTCTGCCTTTGCATGTGAACACTAAATGTAAGCAGTCAGGAACCTGTGGAACTGTGTGTGGCTGTCACAGCCAAGGGCGCCTTCCTCAGCCCAGAACTCCAGGTTCCCTAATAGTGCTGATCACCTCACAGATGTCCGTCTTGTGTTTGTCCCAGGTGTTTGAGGCAGGGGAGGGAACATATACACACATGTGTGTGTTTAGCCACATGCTGGTGGTGTGTGCACACTTGGGAAGGCTCACTTGAGAGGGTGGTTCTTCAAGGGTCATTGGGTACCAAGGTGGAAGGCACATGTGGTGGTGAGTGCAACCTGGTGAGCCTGTGCCCCAAAGTGCGTGCTTGCAACAAAGCTTCACTCACCTGCTTGTTACCCACGCACTGCACCCCACCTCTGCCAGGAGTTTAGAAATGTTCCCAGCACAGGGAAGACAGGCGATCCAGAACAAGGGGGGGCGGGGCTCATCCCTGCCCAGTCCCAGCTGTCCCCAAAGCCCCCAACAACCTGTCGGGGCACTGGGAGGAGTGGCGGCCGCCGCCTGGCTCTGTGCAGGTGTTGCTAGGCGCCATGGGCTGCGGCTGCGTGGGGCCTGGGCCTCCGGGAATCTGGGTCAGCCGGAGGAGCTGATTCATTGTTTGTGTCAGTCATGGGGTGGGGAGTCGCCCTGGGAGGGGGAGATACCCCAGGCAAAATGTGGGGGACCCAGGACTCAACTGCCCCTGAGTCTCCAGGCTACCTCCATTCCCCAGGCTGAGAGCTGGGGGGGGGCGGGCGGGGGGCGTCATTCTCCACATCCGGGTGTAAGATTTGTGGCTGTTCTCTTGTGGGCTGTATGTTGTGTCTGTGTGTGGAGCTGGGAGTGGGTACATTGCAGTGTGTGAGGATGTGTGTGTGTGTGTTGTGTGGGTCTGTGCTCACGGGAGCTAATGTGAATGAGATACCACACATGCCCCCCTGTTCCCACCCCCTCCCTGCTCTCAGCTTGGGCTGCCTCAATTTCTGTCCGTTTTCTGTACCCTCCCAATGTCTGTGCCTCCTAGACATCCCAAGAGATAGGTACTGGTTGGTCATCACCACCCCCCCAGCAGATGACATGCACAGGAGAACGGGAGGGAGGCGCCAATGGCCTACCCAAGGTCCTGTGGAGTGAGTGGCGGGATGGACCTTGGAGTGCAGTGGCCCAGTGTTGTTAGCCATAGTCTGTCCCCGACTGACCCACCAATCAGTCGATTAATCAGAAATGACGCTGGCCGTGGAGCTGGGCCATCTGCCTCTCGCCTGCTTCCCACAGTGGCACCTTCTCCAGGGTGGGCCTTCCTTGTAGGAGCTTCTTCCCAAAGTTCCCAAAGGCTGACAAATTGCCCCTTCCCTTCCTCGGCCAGGTGAAAATCTGGTTCCAGAACCGCCGGTCCAAATTCAAGAAGCTCTACAAGAACGGGGAGGTGCCCTTGGAGCACAGTCCCAACAACAGCGATTCCATGGCTTGCAACTCACCGCCGTCACCTGCCCTCTGGGACACGTCCTCCCACGCCACTCCGGCCCCTGCCCGCACTCAGCTGCCCCCGCCACTTCCGTACAGCGCCTCCCCCAGCTACCTGGACGACCCCACCAACTCGTGGTACCACACGCAGAATCTGAGCGGACCCCACTTACAGCAGCAGCAGCAGCCCCCTCAGCCGGCCACCCTGCATCACGCCTCCCCCGGGCCCCCACCCAATCCTGGGGCTGTGTACTGAGCACCTGTCTGACCTGCACCAGCCCCCACCACGAAGGACCCCCACCCCCACCCCGGGGACCAGGCTGCAGGCGCCATCACCACCAGCAGTGCGTCTAGCCAACACTCAGGAATCATCAAAGAGCATGTCGGGAAGGCCCCTGTTTTTCTCCTCTGCATCTGCATGGACCAAGGCTGTCTCCGGGCCTTCCCCTGGCAACCGGCCTGGGGTGCCTCTCCAGATGCCCCAGTGGAAACAGCTCCTGGAGCCAGGGTGGCCTGTGAGTGGCCCATCATGGCCACTTTACAGTTCCTGAAAACTCAGTACCTGTTTTCCAAACTGGAGATGCTGGGCCTGGGGGAGACTGCCGAGAGCCTGCAGGTATGGCCGGGAAGCCAGGGAGCCAGGGAACTGGGCACTGGGGTTCATTGAACCTGCCAGGCCCAGCCCTTCCTAGGCCACCTGTTGCCTGCTCCTTACTGAGCAGCCCCTCTCTGCCAAAAGAGAAACCAGACTTGGCAACAACGGGCTGGGGGGGGGGTCTCAGGGTGGGGGAGTGGGCATGTGCTCCCCCCCAACTCTGCACTTCTAAACCCTCACTGAAGATTTGAGGGTGAAACCAAAGACAACTCCCCCAGTGTGGGGATCTTTTAATATTTGTGGCTTAGATGGAAAAGCTAAGGGAGCCCTCTCCTCCCTTGCTCCCACTCTGCCAGGGGAGAAAGGGGACGGGGGTTTCCCATATCCCTCCCAAGGACCATTTCTTATTCCGTGCACAGGACTTTTGCACAACTTTGATTTTGAAAGCTGTTGAAAACCTAGGAAAAGAAAGGGCATTGTTACCAAATAGGACACAACTTCCCCTCTTGGGGGGAAGGAGGGCAGTTTGATCCTGCCTTCCCACCCACCCTACCACCACCTCTTCTCCTCCCCTTCCCTCCAGTAGCTGGCAGCCTTGGCGCCAAACCCCAAATCTCCAAGGAGATCAACCAGGCAAGACAAGCCCCCCCAAACTCCCCTTCCGGTGGCCTTGGAGACAGCTGGAGAATGTGGGGGTGTGGTGTCAAGGAGGGAAGCAGCTTCTAATGCTGTACCTTGTGAGGGGGGCTGGAGGCGCTGTCCCATATGCCCCCCACAGCCAACTTCCCTCCCTCCCACCGCATGATGTGGTGGTGAGGTGGACGCTGTGGCTCTATATATAGTATGTTTTTTTTTTTTCTAAGAGTAAAAGGGGACAGCCTCCTCCCTCCTGTGGTTTCCTATTTATGTGACTCCTTCCTCCTGGACAGGTCGCCCTGTGCGGCAAGAGCTGAGAGCAAGAGGGGTGTGGGCTGCGGCTGCGTCCCCTCTCGTGGGAGGTGCGGGAGTCAGGAGACAGACAGATGCGGGTCTCCAAGAGTCTCACCCAGGGACACAGGGATGGGCCAGCTCCCGGCCCTCCTGCCCTTCTCACTCCTGCCTCCTTGCTGGCCCTGTCTTTATATATAATGTTAATAAAAAAGAAAAAAAAAAAAGAGAGAGAGAGAGAAGAGAACTGCCAAGCTCTTTGAACTGCTGGTGCTTATCCCGGAGGACCTGGGAGGTGGAGAGAATTCTGTCTGTTGGTGGGTGGACACAAGGTGGGGAGTGACCAGGAAGCTTTTAGGGGCTCCTGAGGAAATGACCCTGTCCCCTGAACCCACTGCTGTGGAGGGGCCCAAGGCTGGACCTTGCTTCAAGAGGGGGGACAAGAGTGCTGACCCCTTGGCTGCCCCCCACATCTGGTGTGACAATGTGGGAGGCTCTTGATCTTCCTGCCCTTGATTCCCCGTAGTGTATGGGTACTTGGCATTCCCTGCCAGCCGGTGGCCCTCCGCCATCGCCATCATCACCGCCACTGCCGGGTCACCTCAGGGCTGCTCTTTGATCCTGAGCTCACATGAGCAGACATGCTTGCACATGCATGTTAAGCCCCTGTCTCCACGCCCAGGCATCCTGGTCCCTCTCCCTCCTGGTTATCCCTTCCAACTTCCAGGGAGGGAATGACACTGCTCCAATGCCCGACCCTGGGGTCCCCTCCCAGCTGCTGGGCCAGGGGTGCATTCAGGCCCTGCCTCGGATCATCTGTCCACTGCCACTGACCACCTGGGCCACAGCTACTGCGTCTCGCTCTCCTCTTCCACGTGTTCCTTGTCAGAGCCTGGGAGACAAGATCTGGAGAGGGTGGGATGAACGAAAGGATATATGAGCACCACGTCTTGACGCAGAGGGGCGCCGGTGTGATCCACACCTTAGAGTCTTTCACACAGGCACACGATACCCACGGCTCTCCATGGTCACACACACGGACTCTCGCTCCAGGCCAATGTGCTGTCACCTGCAGGCACAGCCGTGGACACACGCACCTGACGCATCACAGCCTCACGGCAAAGGACACAGCCAGAGCCGGAGGGCTCCAAGAGATACAGGCCGCCGACGATACAGGTGCACAAGTGCATACACACACACACACATGCGTACAGTAGAGAAAACTCCCTGTAATAGAAAAAAGTCTGGAGTGGATCAAGTGACATTGCCCGGTAACCGACGTGATGCAGCTCAGCCTAGAAAGTCCCAGTCAGGCCGGCGGTTTCCTCATCAATCAACGTGGGTGAGAGAAGGCCTGCCCTGTCTGCCTGTGGCACTGTTGAGGGACACCAAGCAAAACAGGGATGTGGAGGCTGGGTGGGGGTGGTCCCCAGCTCACAGAAGTGGCCTGTTGGACTGGGGCAAGGCTGGGACCCTCAGCCCCCAGGCCATCTGACTCCACCCTCTCAGAAAGCAGGCCCTCTCCTCCCCACCCTCACCCTCAGCACGCCCCGCCCTGGGGGAGGCGGAAGGGAGGAGAGCCTTCAAGCCGACGGACGCCAGCCAGGCTGGCAAGGGTTAAGGTGGCAGCTGCCAGGCGGGGCTGAGCTGAGCAGTTGGGTTTGAGGGCTGCGTGCAGGCAGGAGCAGCGAGGCGGCAGCCGGCAGACTCGCTGGAGACACTGCATTTTATTAGGGCTGGGCTGCCAGCAAGGGGAGGGAGAGGTGGGGGGGGGGGGGAAAGGGCAGCAGAAAGAGAGAGGAAGGAAGGAGGGAGGCTGGGCGGGCAACCAGGGGATGAAAGGATGTTGTAAGCTCCTTAATTCCTCAGGGCTCATCCCAGCGTGGTCAGGCTGGATTAACTGCCCAGGTGACCTCCTGCGGGGTCAGCCCCACCCCTGACCTCCCCTTCCTCTCTCCTCACCTCGGGCGGTCAGGTTGCCCTCTACACCTGCCCTGGTGGGTGAGGGCTCCTGTGAAGAGGTAGCAGGTAAGGTGCAACAAGTGGTGGGTGGGTGGGAGTTAGCGGGGCTAGCCAAACCCATCTTCCACCAGGTGCTTCTGAACGTTACGACAACCTTCAGGGAAGAAGGGACAGACTCAGAAACATGGCCACTGTTCTCCAAAGCTTAGCCACAGGTGGCATTTTCCAGCCTCCAGTTCCACACCAGGTTCTTTGCCTGTGATTCTCACAGTGGCTGGGCATGTGCGTGCCCATGTTTCAGGTACCCGAATATACCTGAAAAGGTTCTGTCTCTGCTGAAATCACAAGACAGAACAAAACAAAGATATGGCCATGCTGGAATGGGAACCCTGGTCTGTCTGGAGAATGGGTACCCTGGCTAAGATGCCAGGGCAGAGTGTCAGAACACTGGAGCCACCGCAGCTCCACCCACCCCGCCCGCAACCAGCCCTCCTCCTGGGTGCTGGGGGAGGGCGGGGGTTGCCCTTCTTCCCCTGGGCTGGTCCTAGGAAAAGCTTAAGGCTGCCATGCTCTGGAATGTGCACAGCAGTCAGCTGACCCAGATCTGAGTGTTGCCTCCATCACTTTGACCTTGGCCAAATCCTCTAACCTTTCTGTTCCTCAGTTTCCTCGTGTGTGGCGTAAGGATAATGCTACCTGTGGAGCTGCGTGGTTGTCAGGATTAAATGGGATAATGGGAGGATAATGTTTTCCGAGGTCTCAGGCACATGCTGAACCCTGTGCTCAGTGCATGGAAGTAGCTGCTGCTGCTTCTCCTGCTGGCCACAGCAGAGGACATTTCCTGCCCTGCCCAGCCCTCCACACCTCCAACTCAGACCCTGGCTGCCCCTGCCACGTGGCTTACCTGAGCCATCCTCCAGGTGCAGCAAGAAAGAACGAGTCAGCTACTGTTTACTGAGTACCTGCTGCATGCCAAGCCCAGGTGGTACAACAGATTACCAAAGCCTAGTGAAGGAAGGCAGAGACCCCAGGCCTGGGGAGGCTCACAGCTGGGCACACCGCTACTGCCCAAGAAGGACTTGAACAGAGGGGAGGGCAAGTGCAGCTGGTGGCAGGTGAGAAGGAGGCTTGGAAGGCATCGTGGGAGAGGTGGCATTTGAGTTGTGCCTTGAAAGAGGATGGAAACATGGTGGGCTAAAGTGGGGGGCTGGGGCCCCCTCCTCTGGGACTCCATGGGGTGGAGAGGAATGAGGTTCATGGGCAAAGCTTGGACATCTCAGCCCTGTGGATCCTGTTAGGACTGGGGCCCAGAGAGGGGAGGTAGAGACCCAGGGGTCCCAAAATCCTTCTTCCTCAGGGGCTGACAAAGATTGGGGTCTGATCTGGAAGTCCCAAACCTCTCAGATGTTCTGGGCTCTGTCCTGGCACGTGAGAGTTAAGGAGGGAATGAGTTAGCTGCGACTCTTCTCACTTGAGAGAATGGATAAGAAAGATGGCGATAGGGCTGTGGCATAGTAGACTAAGCCTCTGCCTGTGGCATGAACATCCCGTATGGACACTGGTCCATGTCTTGGCTGCTCTATTTATGATCCAGCTCCTTGCTTATGGCCTAGGAAAGCAGTAGAGGATGGCTCAAGTCTTTTGGGCCCTGGACTCAATGTGGGAGGCCTGAAAGAAGCTTCTGGCTTCCAGCTTCAGACCAATCTAGCTCCAGCAGCTGTGGCCACTTGGGGAGTGAACCAGCAGTTGGAACTCCTCTCGACTCTCAGTTT